GTAACACGAGATCTTAATATAGTAATCTATTAGTTCATCTTGTAACCTTGTGAGAATATTGCAACATTTATCATTTAAGGGTACACATATCTTACTACGGTATAACTTTTGTTATATTAAACGTTGCGAAATTTGAATTATTTGTGAAATAAAAAACGTAAATTGTGTGATGAGATTTTTACGGAGCAATGAGAAATAAACAAAGTCATATATCAAATATCTTATGGACAACCAAAATGGGAACATTAGAACAGTCCAATAGAACAAATAAAACATTACTTAAGGTAAAATACTTGGCAAACTTCAATGATATGGAGACACTATTATTTAATAGAAAAGGTTCCACTAATATTATTTTTGAAAAAGTGATTAACAAAAATGTGACTTGGTAACTTTTAATTACTATAATTGTGTACAAATTAACTACTTAGTATGATGTAGTAGTTATGATGTAAACTTTGAACAGAATTATAATTACTAAAGTTGTAAAAACATTTTAATTTGTCCATATCTTTTTTATTAGTAATACTTTAGAGAAAACTATATGTAATATTATTCTGATCAATTTAATATTTAAGTTAGATTTGATCTCGTTTTATAAGGGATTGACATGAGATAATATTACGAAATGGAGAGTGAGTTAGAGTGTTCAAAACGGGGAGGACAATCCGGCAAGGAGACGCGATGGGTTTCATTATTATCACATTATACGCGGAGTAATATATATACGAATTATAATATTATTAGCAATAATATTGTTTCTTTTATTATTTGTATTATTATTAATATTATTTATTAATATTGGAAATAAGTTTGTGTTGTGTAAAACGGAAGACAGAATGAAGCATATGATTTAAGTAAAGAAGCAATATGGGGGGGGGGGGGGGGGGGCGAAGGGTGTTGGAACGGTATACGGCTACCACCGCATGGGACGGCACCGCCCATCTCTTTTTGTTTGAGAAGCGTCGGTTAGTTCATTCAAGTGGATGGTCATTGAGTCTTTGGGCTTTTGATTGGATATAATTTAATCATTTGTAATTGAGAGTGTACGTGTGAAATTAATATGGTATTGTGTTTTTTAAGTTATATATTACTACGTATATGGGATTATGTAAGAGTAAACAAGCTTTTCTCACATTGAGTGCAAATTGAAATTAGACCATAGATAATTAAGTTGTATGTGCTTTTTTATTGGGTGGAAGTGAGGAACAAACAACATTATTAATGAGACATAAAGTTGAGAGTAAAATTAGGAAACACTCCCAAGCTATGTGTTACTACTGGAGATGCTGATGAATACTACAAGAACACTGGACATTCCCGAGGTAAGAAGATAATGAGAGATAGAATTGGACGATCTAGATTGAACATTGCGGCTCACTAATGTAATATTAAGAGCCTCTTTGATGACTCTGTTTTCAACTTATCAATCATATCAGTCAATTTTTTAACCAAACACGTAATTTTTGATTTCGTGCACTGAATTGTGGAGTAATAAGAAAAAGTAAGGTTGAAGTTACTTTTCTGGCTGAAGTGACTGTATATGACCATACTTTTTTCATAAATCAGCAGAATCAGCCAATACAGCTACTTCAGCCGGAACTTCATAAATTTTAGCAGAATAAGGTGATTCCACCGATTTTAGTGTTACCCCAAACAGGCTCTACGTTTATTACTCTTGCTTCGATATAAATAACTTCTAAAAAAACAATTCTCAAACTTTATTAGTTTCAGTTTTTCAAACTATTGTAATAGTAATATTAATGATCCCGTTTTAATAACCGCAAAGAAATAACTAAGATTTGAAAGTTTGAGTTTCATTCCAATTACAAATATTGACATTATCATTATCATCATCATAATTATATTAGGTTTATAAGATTGTTCTAAAAAAAATTAAAATAAAAAGACTATTCTAAAAAAGATATATATCTGGATCTTCTACCTAGCAAAAAAATGAAAAATACTCCCTCCGTCCCTTAAAACTTTGCCAACTTTCCCTTTTTGGATGTCCCACTAACTTTGTCACTTTCTTTTTTAAGTAAACAATTTGTGGTTCCATTTAATTCTCTCTCCTCTGCACAAACCTCAACCACATAGTTTTTACTTTATTAATCTCCGTGCCGGTCAAACTTGGCAAAGTTTTAAGGGACGGAGGTAGTAGTAACTAATCAATAAATTGTACGGAGTAAAATAATGTACTTCGTATAAATTAAAGTCTGATAATAAAGCTAAGTAACACTAATAATTTGCACGAACAAATACGATGTACGGAGGATAACTTTACTCCACGATCAAATATCTAAGAATTGATTAGTCAAAAGCTAATCTTTCGAGAAGCCAATAGTATCAGTCAAAGCCTCTGACTCATCAAGTACGATTCCCGGACTACCCAGTACCCAAATCTCAAATCATCACACAAATGCATATTGATTTACTCATTAATAATTGTACTTAAAAAGGAGCGAATGAACCTCAATGGCTCAATGAGTATGGCTTTGGGATAAAAAAAAGATGTACACTATGTACTAATGCAATGAGTATGGCTTTGGGATAAAAAAAAGATGTACACTATGTACTAATGGGTTGTACTCCCTCCGTTCCTAATAACTTTGCCAAGTTTGACCGGCACGGGAATTAATAAAGTAAAATTGTGTGATTGAGGTTTGTGCAGAGGAGAGAGAATTAACTGGAACCACAAATTCTTTACTTAAATGGGAAAGTGACAAAATTAATGGGACATCCAAAAAAAGAAAGTTGACAAAATTATATGGGACGGAGGGAGTAACTTGTAATGATTAAAAAGATGGAGTTGTTTCATGAGTTAAGATTGGTTCTCTTAAGGATGTTTTCTTAGGACTGTTCAATTTGATAAGTTACCGAAATGATTTTGAGAGCATGTTCAATCATAATATTAAGACACATGATTTTCAAAATGAACAGAGTTATTAACTAAAGGTGTTATGTTTGATTAATTATTGTATCATGAAAGGGTTTGACATCATCTTTAAATGAAATAATGACAAAAATAATAGCAGACGCACGACAACGATGAACACTTGTGGCATAGGCCAATCCGAGCAACGAATTCGAGTAGCGAAGAAGGGAAATTTGAGGGGGCAAATTAGGTGGCAATGGCGTGTTTAGATATTGCACAACTACGGTATAAGCTTTGTGAGGAAGGGAGTGTTTGCAATTGCTTCAACTTTAAAAAAGTGATTTTTTAAAGTGATTTTGAGAAAAGTGATTAATAATAAAAGTTGGTAATGTTTGGTAAAATAAGTACTTTTTGTGTAATAGAAAAAGTGAAAAGCAGTTTAAAGCACCCTTCCACATGCTTCCAGCTTTTAACTTTTAAGTGATTAATTTAAGCAGAAGCTGTCATTTGAAAACACTCTTTTTAGTTTTTTTAAGTCAAAAGCTGAAAAGCGCTTTTTTTAAGCAACTGCAAACACTGCTGAAATCTGAAGAGGTCGCAAGGCTGGGTAGGCTGGTGGGGTGGGGTAATGACACATGGTTGTGACAAATTGGCAATGGGCTAGGTACATGCAAGGTGGGGGGGGGGCACGGGAGGATGCGGTAGGTTGGGGCTGTGGTGGAGTTGTAAGAAAAGGTGAGAAGAGATAGGTCTATAGTCTTATTGGTCGAAAAATATAGAACACTTTTGAAGTGTAATAGTGTAATTTTCACTATAGAAGCGCGGTGAGTAAGGTATGATCACTCGGGGGGTGACCACTAAGTAGTGTGCAAGCGGTGGTTGCTGCGTCTAACGACATTGGTCACTGTGACTGATGACAACGGTCACTGTGTTAGGTCGTCAGTTCACTAAGTAATTTATTAAGTGTAATGTTTATTAGTCACATTTATCTATTACGGATGTTAGGATATTGGGTCCAGGCCCAATACCCACGGCCCAAAGTATGGTTGGGTCCTCAGAAAAATCATAAGGCCTAAAGGAGTCCAGACCCCCTGATCGGCATTTGGCATAGTTCTTCTACTTGGAGTATTTTAGGAAAACACTGACACCTATACACCCGTGGCGGGGGCCCGCACACCGAACGCCCTATCCGAACGGGTAGTCGGCAAGTGGAAGCCGCATTTAATGCCAAAGCATGGCAGCAGCAAGTGGAGGCAGGGGTGCATAAGTGGAAGAGGTTACAACCTACCAGATTCAGCCACGTGTCCATTTTACTCATCCTCATTCTAGTATAAATACCTGCATTGAATACATTGTAAAGGGTTGACATTTTAATACTCAGAGCTTAGCAAATAGAATTATCTCTCTTATTCTTATATTCTTGTACTTACCTACCGTTCAGGTAGTCCAGCGTAATCGCAGCATTACTGAATACAAGTTAGCTCTTGAGTTGAATAATATTTCACTGTTTTATATTTTATACACTTTCCAAACCAACCCAACGTTCTTAAATATCCAAAGCATGTGTTGGCTTTCGGATCTTCGGGATTAAACCTCAACAACGGAGTATCTACTTTTTTAATAATATTAATGTCTAACCCCTTATTCAAATCTATAATGCCAAAATTTTGTTTATGATAAGTAAGTTTGACACATATGTGATGATGTCTATTCTAATTTCACTATATTTAGAGTAAGGATGTTTTCTTTTGGACTGAAATTTGCTAGTCTGGTCTGTTTAAGCCTGGTCTGGTGTGATCTGGTCTGGTCTGTTTAAATCTGATCTGGTCTGATCTGTTTAAGTCTGGTGTGATCTAATCTGATCTGAGACTGAAGACAATCCAAAAAGAAAACATCCTAATTAAGCTTGGCTGGGTCTATCTAAAATCCAACGCAACACCTCAAGTCCAGCCGCAGCCATTTGAAAGCCACCTTTCCATTGCATTACCCAGGAATGTTCAGTCTAAGCGACTCTACTTTCTCTCCCAGTCCACCACCCTACCCCACACCTTCAACCCACCCGCACGGGTTGCGGGCTATACCTTCCCCTCTATATATACACACCCACAAAAAGCTCTGTATCGCATCCCCTCATCAAAGCTCTATACCCTCTTCGATCTTCTCCGATCCTTACTACAATGGCGGCCGTCTCCACCATCTCCATGCTTGACTCCACCTTTGAGTCTGACAACCTCACCAATCAGATCTTTTCCATTCTTGAAAACAAGTTTCTTTTCGGGTGCAACGACCAGAGGAGTAGTGATTCGTCGGTGATGTCATCATTTCCCGGCGCCGGCAAGGTCCGGATTCTCTCCATTGATGGCTCTGGATCCACCGGCGGTGTCCTCGCTGCCAAATCTTTGGTCCGTCTCGAAGCCGCCCTCCGGGCTAAATCCGAGAACCCGAATGCCCACATTGCCGATTTCTTTGATGTCGTAGCCGGCTCCGGCGTCGGAGGGGTCCTCGCCGGTTTCCTGTTCACGCGAGGGAAAGACGGGTCCCCGTTGTTGACTGCCGGAGAAGCTCTCAGATTCGTGTTGGAAAACGGCCGGAGGATTTCGAGGCCGGAGCAGAGTGGGGTTTTCCGGCGGGCGTTCAAGCCGTCGAAGCTCTTCAAGAAAGTCTTCGGCGAGTCAACGCTGAAAGATACCCTGAAATCTGTCCTCATCCCCTGCTACGACCTCACCACCGGAGCTCCGTTCCTGTTCTCACGCGCCGACGCGTTTGAAATGGACACTTGCGACTTCCTGATGGCGGATGTTTGTGGCGCCACCGTCGCTCACCGCGCGGTTGAGCTTAGGTCGGTGGACGGCGGGATGAGGACGACGGCCGTGGGTGGCGACGTGGCCATGAATAACCCGACGGCGGCCGCCATCACTCACGTGCTCAACAACAAGCAGGAGTTTCCGTTCTCCGTCGGCGTCAATGATTTGCTGGTGGTGTCTTTGGGAAACGGAGAATCGGACTCCGGCACCGTCAATCTGACGCCGTCATCATTCGTTAAGATTGTTGGCTGTGGAGTTTCAGACATGGTATGCCCTTTGCCGAATCAAACTTTTAATTATATTTAAAATAAAAATAATCAATTAATATTTTGTAAGAATAAACCAATTGTTTTTTCTGTGTTAGTTACAACCTATTTTTAATTAATATGATTTTCTATGTTTAAAACATAAAATAAAATTTAATATGAACAATTATGACTATTTAATTGAATTTATGTTCTCATAAAATGAAATTTTAAATAACAATCTATTTAGCGGATTAACTAAAATAATGCTCAATACTTGTTTCTCTTATTTTGTTATACTTCTCATGTTTTTATTTACAAAAGAAACTCTTAAACATTTCCAAAACATGAAAAAAGTTTAAAAATGAGATTATGATTTTTTCTTTTAGAGTATGACATATTCATTTCTAATGAAAGAAGAAACGTATGTTTACAAAAAATATTTTTTATGACTAAAATAAAGATTATATATAAAAGCATGACTAACTTATGATTAATTATTTAAGTGATGTTACCATGATATTATATTATAGTCACTATTAATCATATTTATGTAACTAACTTATATTTTAGTAATATTTTGAAAAAAACTATGAAATAAATTGTATACTTTTAATAAAATCAAATGAGTTACTAGTTACTACGTCAATTTTAGTAATAAAACATTAGTTCTATTTGCATATTTTATCTACTCTGTATATTTTAATCAAATACTCGTATATGACTTGTTTTTTTCTTGTTAAAGAATGACTCATTTTTTTATACTTTTTGTCTGAACTCATTTTTTTTAGGGGTGGGCACGGTCCGGTTCGGTCCAATATTTGGCCGAACCCGTACCCGTACCGTTACTATTGAAACAGTTCGGTACGGTTCGGTCTTAGACCCAAATCCGTTTGGTACGGTCCATTTTCAAACGGGACGGTACCATGTCATATCAATACCAAACAATGCCACTTTTTCCAGGTGTTTAAGAAAAAATTAAAGTTTAGCCATCCTCCAAAAAATCCAAACAATTTATCAATTTTCATATATCATACTACCTTCGTTTCAAATTGATTTGCAAAGTCAATCTTTTTTGGTCAAACAATTTCTTTTTATTCACTTAATTAGAATTTCACTTTTTAATTATATTCTAATTTAGCCTTTCACAAAAACTACTCCGTACTTCGTATATTTTAATTTGGATTTTGCAACTTTAGAGAGATTTTAATGTGATTTCTAAATATGTAAATTTTAATTTTTAAAAATTGTACGAAGTATTAATTATCAAGAACTTAACATTAACTTTGACAAAAAAAATGTTGGCTTTGCAAATCAATTTGGGACGGATGAGGTAATTAATATATTTTAGATAAACTATAGTAGTACAAATTTAATAAACCATACTTCGGTCCGGTACCGGTTCTCATTTTATGAAAACCGGTCATGACATTGTTTGGAACCGGTTCGGTCCGGTTCGGGACAAAAAATTTTGAGATCCGTTTCAAACCCCGTTTATCGGTCCGGTACCATACCGATCCGGTTCGGTATCATACCGGTTCGGTATTTTTGCCCACCCCTAATTTTTTTTAAACCTTTTTACCTTTTTTACCCAGAATGGTAATCATGTGAAACGTGTTCTTTTCTTTTTACCTATTAAAATCCATATTCAATGCACCTCTGGAATGTTTGTATAAACTACAAAGATTTAATCAATTTAAAAAGCAATTATAATTAATTATTCATTGAATTGACAGGTGGACCAGGCAGTATCAATGGCATTTTCCCAGTCCGGCAGTAAAAGCAACTACATTCGCATTCAAGGCCAGGGGCCGTTCGGGAAGAAAAATGAGCGGAAATCGGAATCGGAATCCGCCATGGCAGACGAAATGCTGAACCAGAAGAACGTGGAATCGGTCTTATTCCAAGGAAAGAGGTTGGCCCAAGCTTCAAATCTGGAAAAACTGGACCATTTCGCTTCTGAATTGGTGAAGGAACAAAACCGGAGAAGCACGAGCGTTTTACCGGCGGTGGTCCTGAAACAAGCCGCCACGACGGCGTCGTCTCCGAGGACTTCCTCCTCCACGATTTTGTCTTCGAATTCGTCCTGTTAATTGCTTGTTAATCACTATTTTTGTTGTCAATTGGTAGCTAGTAGCAGAGGCTAAAAAAATTTGAACCACTCATTGGAAAGATCCAAAATCTGTATCATTTTTTGGGGTATATGTATAATAATTTGATCTCAAATCCAATGCACAAGTGTTACTCCGATTTGTACGAAGTGACACTTTATTTGGACCTATATATAATTCACACACAAATGCACACATACATATATACTTCTTCATCCCGAAAAATTGTTCCCGCATTGACTTGAAACGGAGTTTAAGAAAGTGAGAATAAAGTGGAAATGTATGGTTGTGGGTGAGTAAGAAAAAATTAAATGAATTGTAGCCACAAAAAACTTTCCAAAAGGGAAAAGTGGACCAATTTTTTGGGACGGCCCAAAAAGGAAACAGAGAACAATTTTTAGGAACGGAGGGAGTTCATATCAATAATATATATAAGTTACTCCCTCCATCCCTAATAAAACTTCTAAATAGGTTTGACACAGTTTAAGATAGTGGGTATTGTGTGGTGGAGAGTTGTGCAAGAGAGAGAGTTGAAATTTTAATTGGGATGGACGAAAAAGGAAAGTTGGAAATTTATTTAGATACGGAGGGAGTACTAACTTATCAAGAGAATAATAATTTTATTTTTCCGTTTTCAAATTAGAGATAGTTGTAGGTTATTTAATTTTCAAAAGGATATTTGTTTTGTTTATGCAAATGTATTACACAAATCTAATTATACTCATATAAACGTTGACCTACATCAATTTATAAGGAGTTTTAATAAAGCATAATAGAGGCTATTAATTTGTCTTCTCATATTTATTTAGGCTATATAGCCATTTAACCCTTACACAAATCTAATTATACTCATATAAAGTCAGATGTTCCAAATATCAACAAGAAACTTTGACATATTTGTATTAAACCAAGGAATAAATAGTTATGTCAAAATTTAAGTAGTTTTGAAAATTTTATTGATAAACTCCTTATAAAATGATATAGGTCAACGTTTGATGGGGAAGAAATAATTAAAAGTCATTTTTTGTATAGTACTTGTTGTACGAAATAGAAAACGTAAATAACATGTTAATATTCAAAAAAATAAAAAATAAATATTTTGAGTTGGAAAAATAAAAATGTAACATAAGAGTAAAAGAAATTTGGAGTGGTAGAAAAAAACTAATAAAACCCGAAAAAGGCAAAAACAAGTAGCGAAAGAAGTGTAATTCTTACTAACTAAAAACAGGGCTTAGACAGGGTTCGAACCCGTGTCTCCAACGAAAATATAAACGTGTCCCCCATTTGCGCTATGCCAACAATTAGTCAAGAAATGGGTCAGCTAATACTTAATGTTATTGAGACGGGGCTCAACCACACACGCACACGCGCGTGCGTGCACACACACAGTATAATCTCCGGGGAACGGGGGCGGCAGCACCGGCTCGTCCCCCTAGTTCCGCCACTGGGTAGTAGTAGCAGCGGCTATTCGAGGTAATGAAGTATCTACGAAAGGTATTTTAATTAATTACTTTAGGTTAGGGGTATGATTAAAGTTGGGTCGGGTAATTAGCTATTGATTAAGCAAGTTAAATAGATCGTAATATAGGGTGTAAGTAAGAGTATTATCTCGACATGGACGGGCAAAAGGGAATTAAGAATTAAATAAATTCAGCGATAAAAAGAAATAAAATAATGCAATGGTGCGAGATTGGAGGTTTGGAAAATTCAAATGCTGTCAAACGAATAAAAAAAGATTGGTCTCTCTAATTAACGATGAAGGGAACAGGGAATGATTCTGGGGTAATCAGATTTTTGGCTAGTCAGGCTTAATTACATGAAATTATTTTAATTGAGCCTCACTAATCATTACTAAGTTGTTACCACTATCGCGGCCTAGAGTACAATAATTTAGCAGACCAGCTGATCTCTCATGCGATAGGATCCTATATTATTGCCAAAACGAGCTAGCGTACGACCCATTAATCGCTACTAATCTCTTAGCGAGCGATTAAGTGTGTGTGAAGGTGTCCTAGAATAAACTAGATCTCTCTTAATTTAAACTACAAGCAATCATAATTCTAGCAGTTGTTCTAGGTTGCAAGATATATCAATTAAATTATTGAAACACAAATTAAACATCATTTATGCAATTAACCCATCATGAATTTAGCCATACATCATGATTAACCGTTTCATCAATCCTAAATCTCTAATTAAAACTACTCACAACTCACAATTGATAAATCAACAGAATTGGGATGAACAGAATTAATTGTCATTAATTAAAAAGTAGGAACTTACTAATAATCCTAAGGTCTTGAACAAATAAGCGGAAAAATACGTAAAAACTCGTCCCTAGGCCTCTCTCTAAATTCTGTAACCCCAAATCGGGGTTCTGGAAGCCTTATTTATACAAAACTGAAGAATTCGGGTGAAACTGGAAAATCTGTCGCAGGCACGGCAATAGGCACGACTTGCCTCCATACCGTGCCTCCGGAATAAACTTGCACTTATCGGGTCAGTCACTGCGTGCTTTCTTGCCTCCCCACGATCGATTCTTTCTTTCCTTTCTTGTCTCCACAACAAATCCGACTCTTTCTTCCATCGTTGCTGCTCCGCCACTCCCACTGGAACAAACTCCACCGCCCCCGCATCTCTAGCCATTACCTCCGCCGCGGCCCAGCCTCCATAGCCACCGTCCTGCCATCCACCACATCCGAAGTCCGGCCTCCACCTTCACCTCAACCGCCCCTCCGCTATACACACCGCCTCCATCGACAACCTCCATCCCTTTGCCTCCATTGCAACAACCTCCAGCCGCGCCGGATTCTATAACCACCAACTCCGCCTCCCTTGCCACCGCCTCCGGCTTCCACCTCCGTGGTCTCTACCTTCGCCTCTTCCATTTGAACGACCTTCAACAGCCCCAGCCTCCATGGCCACCACCACCACCACCTGGATGCTCCATGGATCCGTAATCTGCGCAAGGAGAAGGATATTGGTTACAGATGGAGGAGAAATAGAAAAAGAAAATGAAGAGAAAAAATATATGAAAAAAGTAAAAAAATGCCCAGCTGGACATCCAAGTAGGCAGCTCACCGGATAACCGGTTACTTACCCATTAAACAACTAATTTGGTCGATTTTTTTTAGTTTATGAACTTGATTGACTCAAAAAAAAAATACATAGACTCAATTGACTTTTTGTTAAAAGTACATGGACTTATTTGACAGTTTTCCCTTTCCTGAAATTAACTCCAAAATACCTAAAACTCGAACCAACTCTCGGTAAACATTACTTGAGCTAAAATTGAGACTTATGACATCTTAAAGCTAGGAAAACCATCAAAAGTCAATCCCAACACGCATCACATGCATGTTGAAATATGAACTTATCAGATTCCCCAGCACTTAAGCATCTTCTTGTCGTCAAGCAAACTGAAAAACAGGACTTATGATAAATACCACACAGAATTAAAATTATTTGCATGCACAGGTGGTTAGAGGGATACTTACTAAACAGACACTAAATTAAGAAAATTCTTCCCTAAACTACATCTTTGTACTCTAGCTAAAACTAATGACAAAATTATTCACAATATCCTCAAAGTAGTGACAGCATACACTAATAAAGGCAGTAAGAGCATGATCTTAACTACTTGTGAAACCTGTTACAATTCACACACACTCATCGAGAAAAAAATCACGTTTACTATTAAGATATCACACATGTACCATACAAGATCGGGTATATTTCTATCATAATTACTTTGTATGTTTATTGCTATCAAGAACGATCTATATTGCAATTTTAGTTGAATATATAAAGCTCTAGATGTTATGCATCATAATCGAATAGATTTAGTTCTAAAGAGAGTAAAACATGGCTAACTCCTCTAGTATTCAATGGATATTTCAATTTTCAACGTTATTACTTCATATCATACATAGGTTATAATATTAGATTGCATAAGATAAATGATTAGTGAAGCTTAAGAAGAATAGTGCACTTAAACAAATATAAAAACTAATGGATGTAGAGGTTCATCTGTAGCCTTGGCATAGAAGCATAGGATGCTAAAAATTGGATTGAAATTTTCTGGCCTGGGTTGTTTAAGTCTGGTAGAGTTTGAATATATCTGGTCTAATCTTGTAAATGTCTTTTTATGTGTATTTTACAACTTTCAAAATATGGTCAATACTAGTCTTTTTAAGTCGGGCTAGTCTAGAAGTCCATGTAGTCCAATTAAAAACATCTTTAGTTTATAACGCTCATATTAATAAAGATTACAATGCTTTAAATTAACATGTAATGTACATGATGATACACATGTAACTACGTACTACACAGAGCATTCGTTGTTCGTTGTTGAGAGCAATGATGATAAAGTTTTAATGGAATGTCGATAATGTTGAACTGATAAATAATTTCACTTAATTAGCTTCAAACCACACAAGGCTATCAAAATAGGCCTGAAATGATCAAAATTTAAGCATTTAATGAGTAACAAGAAGACCTTAGGCCCAAAACGATCACACAAGTCTGACCTATTTAGAGTGGAATTATCTACTTCCTCCCGTTGTTGCCTTTTCTTATTCATTACTCGCTACCCTTATACTCTAACCAATGTCTCAATATGAATTGTTACTTCCTCCATATAATTATGAGTACTAGTGAAACTTAGTTTTCATGTATACAAGTGGTGATTGTGGTGATAAATATAGATAAAAGATCAAGTTGATCCACAATGAAACTGATGAAACGGTTAGCAACACAAGGGGGGGGGGGGGGGGGGGGGTGAATTGTGTGTGTGTGGAACCGTGACAGTTATTCGCCAAGTTCTAGTGTGGGATAAGGGGAAATGCAAAATAGTAAAGTGCACAAGGATTTAATGAGGAGAAACCCCTTGGCTCAAAGCGATTAAAAAATCTCGACCTCTCTCGAAGGAATTTTAAACAACTTCACTAAAAAGCCTTTGAATGATTACAAGAGAAAACTCTCCTAATCTACCCTTGAGCCACCCCAACTCTATCCTCACTAGGAAGAGTTACGCATCTCTACCTTGCGGGTAGAGAGCCTCTCAGCATTACAACGAAACTTTCACAACACACTTAACCCAACCTGAGGAAGCTGTATGTAGCTAGTCATCAAAAACCCAAATATAATACAAGAAGCGAAATGAAACTATATCTAGAACTCCGTGAGCAGGTTCAGGTGGCTTGGACTTAGTATTTTCTCTCTTAGATTCAAGCACCACTATTTCTCTTTTGCTCCTTTGATTATATAGTCAGCCTTGGGATGAGTCTGTTGGAGCCTTCTTTCCTTGAGTAGATCAATGTTGATTCTTACCTTGTTATAATTTAAAAATCTTTCCATCTTGAGGCATAAGTCAAACGCACTCATATGGTCTCATAAGACAAAGAATAATTGACATAGTGGAGCGTCGTAATAATTTATTATCCTACCATAATAACGGATCATGGCAGCAAACGACTTTACTCAATATATTTAAATTAGTTAATTAAGGTCAATCATTCATGGTAAGTAAATATTCACGCATGGCCAAGCACATATTTTGTAGGTGCTCTTAATCAATTTACACGTCAAGTAAATCACTTATTATTTTGGGCAAGAAAACCTTTACTAAGTGAGTGCAAATGTGCAATCAATAAAGAACCTTTCCATAAAGATACTCAATTAATCTTTTACCTTTTTAAATTACAACCCTTGCTACGGTCAACAAGATAATTGTAATCGAGGATTCCGTCCATAAAAGTTCATTCATAAAAGGCAATATATTCATGCACGCAAAATTCAAATATTGTCACATAAATCATGCAATGCATCATACTTTAGATACGTAGTCATAAATGACTCAATTAGAACTAAGAGTAGTTCTGCCTATGGTTTTAAGAGCTTGCATTAGTGCCTCGTTCATGGTTAGTGATAGAGCAGTTCTAGCCCTTGTTCCTGTATGGTTAGTCATCAACAAAACTAGATATCCAACAGAAATGGTGTTTTTATAAAGTTTGAGTTTTGAGAATTTAAACAAAGCAGTATATAAAGTGTAAAGATTTTTCGATTGACTGTATGAATATATGATCAACTGACAAAGACATCGAGATTTACTTGACTTTAACTTGAGTTTAAATATAAGTAATTTTCAATTCTCAGTAGTATATTATCACTATTATATATATTTCCGACTCTATTAAAGGCAGTAAGAGCATGATTTTAGCTATACTACGTGTGAAACTTGTTACAATTCACACCCTCATCGAGAAAAAAAATCATGTTTATTATTAAGATATCACACATGTATCTTACAAGATCAAGTATATTTCTATCATCAATACTTTGTATGTTTATTGCTATCGAGAACGATCTATATTGCAATTTTTGTTGAATATATAAAGCTCTAGATGTTATGCATTATAATCATATAGATTTAGTTCTAAAGAGAGTAAAACATGGCTTCCTCTAGTATTCGATGGATATTTCGACATTACTTCATATCATACATAGATTATACTATTAGATTGTATAAGATAAATGGTTAGTGAAACTTAAGAAGAATAGAGCACTGAAGTTAAAAACAAATATTAAAACCAGAGGTTCATCTGTAGCCTTGGTATAAAAGCATAGGATGTTAAAAATTGGACTGGAATTTTTTAGTCTGGGTTGTTTAAGTCTAGTAGGGTTTGAATTGGTCTGATCTAATCTTGTAAATGTCTTTTTATGTGTATTTTACAACTTTCAAAATTTGGTCCATACTGGTCTATTTAAGTTGGGCTAGTCTAGAAGTCCGGCCAAGTAGTCTAATTAAAAACATCTTTAGTCTCCAACGCTCATATTAATAAAAATTACAATTCTTTAAATTAAATGTAAAAGAACATGAAAATATATAGAATAAATGGTACTGATAACCCGCTTATATGGCGTTGTAGTAAAACGGAATGTAACCTTTCGTTTTTTTCACGAGTATCGTGTCTCCTGAGGAATGACGGAGGAGTTTCTTGATTTTAAGTTAAGTCCCAAGTTATGGAAAATTATTGGAAGCTTTCCAAATGAAAACTTTTGATTGATTTTCTAAACTACTTTTGAAAAAGAAAGTAATGATGGATTAAAAATAAACTAAATGAAAAATATGATATTAAGCTCTAAATAGATTTTCAAATGTATGATCTCTTTTAAAAATTTCCAAATCTATGACCCATTTTTTTCAGCGAGTTGGAAGAGCCTGGATATGAAGACCTTCTTAAATACAGATAGGGCTGGACTCGGGCCGGGCGGCCCGACCCGGGACCGAATCGGCCCGGTCACTGTTTGGCCCGGCCCGGCCCGTGGCCCGGTGGGTCCACCGGTTCGGTTTGGCCCGGCCCGGGTGCTGGGCAGTCCGGGCTCGGGCCCAGGTTTTGTTGAACCGGCCCGGCCGGTTCGGGCCCGGTCCGGGCCGGATTTTAAATTTTTTTTTTTTGAATTTTTTTAAGTTTTAGGTTGGATTAGGTATTTTGGGCCATTTGAGGTGGTTTGGGATGGTTTGGGGTTGAGGGGGAGGGGTAGGGGATTAAATAGGAGAACAAAAAAAAAAAAAATTGGGCCGGTTCGGCCCGGCCCGGTTTGGCCCGGAACCGGAACCGGCCAACGGCGGTTCGGGCTCGGGCCTCCCCTTTCCTGGCCCGAGGCCCGGCCGGGCCCAGGCCCGAACCGGCCCGAGTCCAGCCCTAAATACAGATATCCAAAGCCTGCAAGTATTCCGCCCAGATGGCCGAGGAAAGACACACCAGGAACAAACATCTGGGTTAAAATGAGTTCGGCCCAAGCAGCATACCGGGTAGGTACCATTAAAATGACATTTCTTACACATGTTGGCATTGTTTTGGTTGATCGGAGCTAGGGATGGCAACGGGGCGGATCGAGGACGGTTTTACATTTACCCGCCCCGTTAGATAATTGACCCGCCCCATAACTGCCCCATTACCCAACAGGTAATTTTTACCCAAATCATAACCGCCCCAACGGGTAACGGGTAAAATTTCGGGTAACAGCGGGTAACCACTTTATTAAGTCATTAAATTTGTTATATAAAAATAATATTTGAAAAGACAAAAAATGGCATTGCCTAGACGAGTCAAGACTTTAGACGGCACTTTAAAGTTCCGTATATCTACAAGACGAGAAAGGAAACAACTTAAATTAATTTGATCTAAAATACTTAATCTAAAAAATAATTAATCACGAAAAAATATGATAATAATCAAACAAGACTATTAAAATCTATTAAAAACTTTCATTCATACATTATAATTAGTACATATATAATCTATATCTATATATACATAATGGAAAGAGAAAAGTCTCATCTCTTAATAGCAGTGGGACAAATAAGAGGAAGCGGTCCAGCTCAGCTGGTCACCGACTCACTCTCCCTTATGGAAGGTCCCGGGTTCGAAACTCAATGGAGTGAGTTTCAGCCCAGTTTACTCCAGGCTCCCACAGACCCCCCCTCCCCCAGAAGCTTCTTGGACTAAAAAAAAAGTTGTGGGACAAATAATAGATAAAAAGTAAGAAAAATATAACTAAAAATAAACGGGGCGGGTACGGGGCGGGTAACGGGGCAGGCAAATATAAAACCGTAACCTCTCCATTACCCGTAAAAACAAAACGGGTATTCCCCGCCCCGTACCCATTACTCGGTCATTGCCGTTTTCCCCGTTTTGACCAGGGCGGTTCAGTGCGGGTATCCATCGGTTCGGTCATAATTGTCATCTCTAATCGGAGCTGGTGGTTCCAGGAGCTGAGGTTGCTGAGGCGGCAAAATAGGCCTGCATTTTTTTACATTATTTTTTTTTTATTTTTATTTTTTTAGTTTTTTATTTTATAAATTTTTTAGTTTTCGAATTTTTTATTTTATTAATTTAAAAAAATCGTTTTTTTTTATTTATTTACATTTTCTTATGAATAAAGTTATGTTTATTACTTTATATTTTAATTATTAATGAAATATGAATTGCATTAAAACAAGGAAAGGGTAGAATCGGAAAGCTGGTCCTATTTAGGGAATTTTTAAATTATGGTCCTATTTTGACAATTAAAGTTTCATTTAGTCCTATTTGAGAATTTCACCCTATTTTTAATTTTTTACTCCCTCCGTAACAAAAAAATCTTCTCACTATCCTTTTTCGGCCGTAACAAAAAAATCTTCCAATTTCTAAATCTTCTCATCATATCCTTAATAATTCGAAAAATAATACACTACTACAACTACTTTTTTTTTGTTATTTATTCTACATTCCATCGCATTATTTCACTATTTCCCATCATACCCTCAATTATACATATCTTCTTTCACTATTTTTAACCTACCTACTTTTGAAATGAGAAGAATTTTAAGTTACGGAGGGAGCATCTATTAACCTATGTATGTATGTATGTATGTATGTATGTATGTATGTATGTATGTATGTATGTATGTATGTATGTATGTATGTATGTATGTATGTATGTATGTATGTATGTATGTATGTATGTATGTATGTATGTATGTATGTATGTATGTATGTATGTATGTATGTATGTATGTATGTATGTGTTGAAGTTTATTCCTTCAACCCTTGGACCCAACACGTAAGCCCAAAGATTTCGAATGGAGTAAGTATAAGGATATCTAGCCTAACAACTATGAGATGGATCAGGAAACAAAAGTGATAGCAGGCAATGTAAATAGGTATTATTAACTTCGTAATAACTCCCCTAAATACAATCTACTTGCTAAAAAGGGCATGTCGGCCGTTCGTCTTACAAGGCACTTAGAAATGCTGCAAGTAAGAATGCTGAGCTAGTATGCTAAGAATATAAAGTTGCCAACCCCTTACAATGAAATAAATGCTTCTATTTATACCCGCCAATGGGCAGGTAGCTGTACTGACGTGGCAGCCTGTGGACCGCTGGTGTCCCAACTACCAAATCTTTAGCATTAAATGCACTTCCCGCCAGAATCTAGGTTTCCCGCCGGATCACTGGGGACGTTCGTCCACCCGGGAAGTGAGTTGGATTGCTCCAAGTGACCCTTGAGGGATATTGGCCGTTCGTCCCCTGGCCTTGATAGATACTCACCATGTGCATTGGGTTTTCTCCGATGACTACAGGTTTGCTCTGGGGACGTTCGTCGCCATCCCTGGTGGCCCGTGGCTCTGCTCCTTGTCCCTGCATAGACGTTCGTCGGAATGAGCTGCTGGGCCTAAATCCTCCAACATCAGACGCTCGTCCATCCTTAAAGAGCATGGGCCTGTGGGCTGGCCTAGTTTCTAGCTGGACGCTCGTCTAGCAAAATGGGTTAGTGGGCCGGACCTCGGCTTGGGCCCTTAACCCAACAGTATGTATGTATGTATGTATGTATATATATATATATATGTTTGTATGGATATATATATATATATATATATATATATATATATATATGTATATATATCCAAGAGACATTATTATTGTAAAAAATGTGAAAAGAATACTCCCTCCGTCCCGAAAACAACTTCTCAGTTGAACTTTCACACACTTTTAGAAAATAAATTTGACTTTACTGTAGAGTACACTGTTTTGCACTGTTTAAACACTGTTTGACGCTGTTCAAACACTGTTTGACACTGTTTATCACTTTTTTTATGTAGATAATTTGTCAAATAAGGAAAGTATTGAACTGTGAAGTTAATTTTGGGACATCCATTTAAGGAAAGTGAGAAATTATTTTTGGGACGGAGGGAGTATATTATTGGTAGTAAGTTAAATACGTGCACCCGTGTGCATTATTGGATTCAAATAACACCAAAGTAAAATGGATCGGGCGGGTGGCAGAGTAGTACGTATATCCTCACTGGAAAACCTGCACTCCAGAGAGGCTGCCCATTGAAACCAACGGTCCAGATTTCGTGTTGGGGAAATCATCGGCAGCTGCTGATTTTTTTTAATCATACGTAGTACCATAGAGTCAGCCAAAGGTTCTGAGGTATCTTGATTTGTCTCTCCAAATTCCAAACAATGAACGACAAATCACTCATACTAAAATTAAGGGATTCCTTAAGAGTGTACGAACGTCTGTTTTGACATAAAATTTAGAAAACTTTCATTTCGAGTTCATCCATGTTTTATGATGTATAATGAATGTCAAACAAACGTGTCCTCTACTCGTGGTTACAAAAATTGAGATTCAACCACTCGATTATTCAAATACGGAGTATTGTTTAATTATTATCACAATTCGATCTTTACATTCGTGAATGATCGAAGTGATGCGTGTACTTTTTCCCCTTCATGATCGACATATATAGCATTATTAAGATTACAAATTTTGGAAAATGAATGAATGGTTCAATCATATGTTTGTGTGCTCATAAGCTCATTCTAATCTGATTGATAGCTTGCTTGTTGATGAGCACTACTTAACACATGTTGGCAGTTTGTGATGCTTGGAGAGTTGGAGTCAAATTTGAAGATCTAAATTCTCATTAATGGTGTTAGCTAAACATCTACCCCATAAATAAAACATTTACCCACCCAGCCTCCATCATATATTCGGCGGAATCAGGGCACTGGATCGGTACGAAATATATTTTTGAAAAATATAATATTTTGCACCAGATTTTTATACTAAGGGATGAGCCATGACCTAGGTTGCCCTTAGCTCCGCCAATGTACTCAAAATCTCAAATGACCAAAACTATACCATTTTAAACCTAGGATTAACTGTATTTCATTGTTTGGTTTATATATAGCCATATAGGCATTGTGGTTAAAATAAAAAGGTGTTTAGCGTGAAATGTGAGAAATTATCGCTAATAATTCGCTACACTGCACTTTTAGAATCAAATACTACACTATTTTGCTATGACTAAAACGTTCACTTATTACAAAAATGCGTCACATTATTTAGCACTTACAAGGGAGGGATTATAATATAGGTTGCATGTTGGAGCTCAAAGATATTGTTGTGACAATATATATAAACGAAGTGGCCATTAAGTAAGTTAATACTCCATCCGTCTCATTTTATATGTCCTACTTTCTTTTTTGGGTTCTGCCAAAATAAGTGTCTTCTTTCCATTTTTGGAAAGAAATATGTGGTCTACATCATTTCACTTTATTATACTCAAATCTCAACTACAACTTTTACTTTTTTAACTACATTCATTAATAATCGTGTCAAGTGAAACTAAATCACATAAAATGGGAGGGAGGTAATATTTGTCCCGTGTTTGCGGTTCACTGTTTGAGGGACAAAGTGACAAATGAAAGCTTTGCATGGTTCTATAGATATACGGTGAGATCAGAAAGTTCAGATGTGGTAGAAATGCACAACGAACCTGGACGGTTCATATTCACGGACAGTTCGAGCCTCTCTGGAATTCAGATTGCCCATAGGCCGGCCTTCAATAGTTGCACTAATTTAATGTTACGTATTCTACCACCCAATCTACTTATCAATAATATTAATTCCCATGACAATATATGAATCAGTATCAGTATATAAGATTTTCACATTTTGCAATTATCGAAGAAGTTTTGTTGGGTCAAAAGAGTCGAATTATTGTATAAAAACATGATAATTAAAAGTAGTACGTGCGTAAAAAACATTTCCAACTATTCATTTGGAGAACTTGCTTTCAACTTCACAACAAATGGCTTACCGTACCAGTGGAGGGTTGCTTCTCTTTTTACCCCAAAAAGTCTGTTAGCCAAAATGAACTACTCGTATTAGATTGAAGCAGAAGAAAAATGCATAGTAATTGTTAAAATATATTCTTAATAAAAAATACGGAGTATGAAAAGTAATACGGAGTAACTAACTATTGGAGTCCATTTTATTTCAGCTATAACTCTATAAGGATATTAGTGTGTCTAGTCAAGCTATAACTCTATAAGGATAGATACTTAACTATTTTTGGTGCTCTCAATGAAACTTTGTTTTCCATTTAATTGTGATTTAATTTAGACCAAGCTCATTGGATTGGAGGGAGGTCATATACTCATATGTCATCAGGGACTTAGCTAGGGCCCAGGAGTGTGCTAGCCCCTCATCCATCCTAAATTTCGGTTTTTTATGTGTCTCTTTAATCTTACTAATATTCAAATCTGTACTACCACTACCACGTATTAAACTACCCAAAAACTGCTTTAGTTAAAGAATTGTAATTTGCTGAAGTTCATAGGCAATACTACATCCGTCCCATTGAACTTTGACAACTTTCGCTTATTGGTTGTCCCAAAAAAACTTTGTCACTTTCCTATTAAAGCAACTAATTTGTGGTTCTGCACATTTTCTCTCTTCTGCACAAATTTCAACAACACAATTTTTACTATTCTTATTTTTCACCTACTTTGCACTTGGCAAAGTCCACCGGGACGGAGGTAGTATAATATTTCAGTTGAGTTATCTAATCTCTACAAACAATTGTGCTCGTGAAAGCATTCGTGTCAATTGTAAAAGCCAAGTGTGAGAATATATTTGTAAATTGGGAGAATCACATTTTTGGTGCCTCATTTAATCGCAATATTGAAATGTCAGACATAATCTGTGTTTTCGTAATTGTAAATTCACCCCAAATTGACAAATTTGTTAAATGTCATTCACGTCGTTTATAATTCCTCTCCAATTCTAGACTACATATAAATGCAATGCACTGAGGATGACATTTACAACACATCTGTCAATTCGGGGGTGACATTCACAATCCCACAAATAAGAATCTAACATTTCAATTAGATGATATATTCACATTTACAGATATATTCTAACACTAAGGCGGCCAATAATCTCTTTTCCAATTGAGTGCGATACGATAATCCGGGTTTATATCTCATGCTCCGAAGATGAAACCTTCCTCTCGATAGTTTTAATTTATACTTTTATGTACTCCGTATCTTGTTTTCCCTACTGAATTGACTTAAAATATAAATGTTCAACTTTACCTATGTATGTTATTAATATCATTTCGCTTTACTTTTCTTTGTGATGACATATAATACACCAAAAAAGAGTCAATAGGAGCAATATTGGCTTACTTTGCTGCAGATTCAAAGGTTTTATGTGGAGTGGATACGTAGATAATAAAAGTGGCTGGAAAATAAAAACAAGCTTCACAGATTTCTGAGAAAGTTTTTTAAAAATATTATTAGAATAAAATATATGAATAAAAATGTAACTGAATCTATTATAGGTATGTTGTCAAGGCCATCAACGTATAAAATTGAATATATGCATGGCGACTACAAGTTACTATAAAATTCACATTTTTCGTTATCATATTTTAATTACTCATATATTAGTCATTATTTATTTTAAAAAAAATCTTTTGGTTTTTAAAAAAATAAGAAGACATTGAAACATTTGGACTTTTGAGCGAAAACATAAGGATGTTTTTACTTGGACTGTAATTTGTTGTTCTGGTCTGGTTTGGTTTCTTTATATTTTTTATAACTACCTAAGTCTGGTCTGGTCTGGTCTGGTCTGATCTGATCAGGTCTGGTTTTGTCTGATCTTGTATAGGACAAATTACAGTCCAAGTAAAAACATCCTAAAAAGGATCTTTTTATTTGGACTCAAATTATCAGCTCCCATACGCCCCAATTTTGCCAATTTTACGTTTTGATTTGTCCAAAACATGTGTTAGTTTTTCTTTAAACTAATTAGCTTATGATTATTTTTATTTCTCTCTTACACAAATTTTGAACTTAATAAAGTTATATTGGATGGGAAAAGTCTTATTTAGCTCATGTCTAGTTTGGATGTGATATATTTTTATATGGAAATTGTCTTGAATAAGGGTAAGTAAACGAGATTTATAATGATGTTTTCTTTTGGATTGTTTTCAGTCTTAGATCAGATCAGACCAGACTTCCATAGTTATAAAATATACAGAAACTAGACGTTTACCAGACCAGACCAGATCAGATCAGACCAAACCAAACCAACAAATTTCAGTCCAAAAGAAAACATCTTAATTCCAAAATAACTCCAACCCATATTAATGATAGTAAATATGGACAATACCATCATGTTGTTCTTATTTCCGGAAGAAAACATATCTATTCTATTATGGAATTCCAAAATTGTTTACTCCTGGATCTTTCAATTCCCTTCTTATATTTTGTGCTGAGACTCTTCAAAATTGGTGTTGAGTCTTTTCTTATCATAATGATCAATTAATAGCGCAAGCTCATTATTCTTGTACCTCATTTTAAATGCACGGATGCCGGTCGCCTTGGATATTTCACAACTAACGCCAACAACAACCCTACTCCTTGAAATGAATATACATTTAATACAATAATTGAAGGTAGATTAAATAAATATGGGTACCGAAGTTGTCACTATATTTGAATCTAAAGTCCAGATCATCATTAGCAATGGCTAAATTAAATAAATACGTAGTATATAAATGAAACCAGAAGAGAAGAATAGGAAGAAACTTCATCGACCATAAACAAATATGGAGGAAGATAGATATTAAAATAGAAAAAGAATGTCTATGGTTGTAGATAGTATGGTCCGTCTTGAAGTTAAGATTTGAAAAGAAAAACTGATTATTGAGATTGTATTGTTGACTTTTGTGAATGGTTGTGAGGAACTACTTTTAAGAGAGATAAATATAACTGTTTTGCATTAAGGTTAGATTAAAATTATAAAGGTCTAGCTAGCTCGAATGTCAAAAAAGCTTGACTAATTAAACCCAGATAATTCAATCGCAACTATACTAGACTGAATTGTTAAACAATGTCATTTTTCCTTATAAAATATATACGCGTAAGACTATATTTGTGGTTTGACAAAAACGCCCTCATACGGTTGGAGCACTACGACCCCTGGTCGCGAGACAGTCGGGAAATTTCTCTAGATCATCACTGTCGCCGTGAGAGTTCACTGCAGCAACCAACATATTGACGTTGATTATGAAAGAGAACTAGATTATAACTAATTAAAATAATTAATTATATTAGGCTAGAAATTAACATTTATTGTTATTTAAAGAA